GAGTCAGGTGCTATGAATGGTTTGCATACTGGACCGCAGCCTCATTCAAGAGAAGGAGCAACGGATTCACTGGCTGAAACTGGTTTGTTACTGTTTAACTCTCATGTGTGTTTTTGCTTCTGTTAGTTTGAAAAACTAAATTAAGTTCTGGTAAATTCTGGCCAGATGGATATTAGGAAGCTCTCATTCACACGTCTGCAAGGAATGCATATCGCATCCACTGTGACAGGTGTTTTGCATTTTAGTTTAGCAGCAGATATACTCTGTTTAAATGGTAACATAACTCGTGTGCTTCCTACACCCCTAGTTAATGATGTTAAGTCAAAGAAGGATCTACACATGAAGTATGTTACCTCTGGACATACCTGCCAGGCTAGAACTTTTAAGTTTACATAATTGCTACTCAGTTTATGTTACTTGGACTCTTCCTTTTACCTCAAGTACTCATATTGGACCCTTGACACTTAGATGTGACTTTGACCCATAGTTTCGCTTCAACATAATGGCATGTTTTCACAAAATAACCAAGTCCGACATTTGTACATGCACCAGCGTGGGACATTGAGTACCAGAGTGTGAACAATAAACTGGGACATGGATCTTTTAGCAATAGTTATTTACAAACTATACTTGGCCTATAGTATCCTCAATCACAAAATGCAGGTGTGCCCTCATATACTATCGCAATTAGACTTGGTAACCTGACTAGAATGACCCAGTCCATACCTGCAGTATACTTGAAACTTGATGAGGCAATATTGACCCTTTATATATACATCCAATTGGTCCGACCCTAACCCAAGTTGAAGAAGTTGATTGCTGCCTCCAATTTCCACAATGAACTTTTACAAATTAAAAGTTTTATGTGATTATCCTTAGGTCGTTGAACATCTAGCACATGATAACCTTGACTTGTCCAGTGACATTTTTGAGTGTGGGGTAGTGGGTAGGCTGTGAAAATGTCACATGCACTGGAAGTACTTTAGCTGAGTAGCATTAGCAGTCATTTTGTATTGTGTTTGAGCACTTACATGGGAGGCTAGGTGGTTCAACCAGGTTTTTGATAGGTTCTTCCTGGGTTTCAACCCTTTCCAGTCTAGTGATTCTCATTACTATACATGCACATTTCTTGGTAGAACTGGTTGTTTCAGCCTATAATATAAGAATTAACATGTATTTGTTTCTGTATATGCAGCTTCTTTTCTTTTGGGATCTAGTGGCAGTAAATCTGACAAAACTCGAGAACGACCAGACAGTCCTTTTTTGTTTCAGCGATCAGATAGTCCTTCTCCGTTTCCTCAGCACAAACGTTCTGTTAGACAGCGGTTGTACCTCTCTATTGATTCTGATTCTGAGTAAGTGTTTTAGTGGTTTTGCTAACCATAATGCTCCAGACTCAAGGTGGCTTGTGGGTCAATTATATAATATTATTGCCCTTCATGAAGCTAGCCTGTAAATAAGAACTTGAAGTTGGTTTGCACTGACCATTTTTGGATGACAACTCAGAACGGGATGCTGAGTAGGGCAGAAATGAGAATATCTGCATTTTACTGAAAGATCAGTGCCTCTTCATTCTCGGTATTGGTGAGCTGGAATACCTCTTTTCGGCTTCGCATGTGGCTGGACGGTACATATCATTGCTAATTTTATTGTGGCACAGGGTTTGAAAGATAGTAGCACATACATTTTGATGAAGAAGCAAGTCTAGTCTAGTACATTTGGTTAGTGGTGGAATTTAGATGTGAATTATTGAGCTCCAAAGCTTATGACCTTTGATCAGTAACAGAGGGGGGTTCCTCTCGTATCTGCAATCTGCAAAAATATACCAGCCTCATATTTTTTGGTGGCATTATAGCCTGTAAATGTTTTATGGGGTTGAGTTATTTATAGAAAAGGGACTTCTTCCCTTACCCTAATCCCTTTCCCCTCCCAAAATGGTGTTTTATTGCACTATGCAGGACACAATTTTTGCGCGGCCAATTGCCCATCATTCTGCACTCATGATTTCGTTGTATCTGTAAGAGGCAATACCTATATCAGCTGTGCGATGGATATGATCTCTTGTGAGCTCTTAAAATCCTTACTAATCTAAGAACTAAACTATTAAAGCATTACATAACTGGTATTCTAGGTGTATATGGGCATTTACAGTATTGAATGTTGGTAATGGACTTGTATTTTTGGTACCTCGTCTTTCTTGAAATGTCACAAACTAGTTTTTAAACATTTGTATATAAATTCTCCTATATCATATCCTATTAGTATGTATATATTTTTTCAGGAGGAAAGGTATATAACCTAACGGCCTCAAGGAAAGAACTAGTCACTAAACCAAAAGAAGATAGTGGTTTTCCTATCTCAATCTCAAGGAAAGAACCAAAAAAGATAGTGGTTTTCCTCACTAGTCACTTGACGAAAAGAAGATAGTGGGTTTCCTATCCCAATCTCAAGGAAAGAACCAATAGGCAGAAGTAGAAGGTAATAAAAATTCGATATATATGTAAAAAAAAAATACGTAAGACCCAGGGTATCTCAAAGTATGACCTACCGAAGACCCTGAACTTCAAGCGCATTGCTAAATAACCAATGGCGAGGATTAAGGATATCAATCAGGGCTAGGAAATTGGAGCGAGTGTTGCTGCAAATTGACTACAACAAAGAAACTAGGAGATGAAGAGACTCCTACCCCTGACTACAAAGAAATTAGGAGATGAAGAGAAGAATCTCGTATGCATTAGATGTGAGGGTCAAGGGTAAAAGTCAGTCAAAAGTAAGAAATTCTTGCTTAATTTCATTCATATACATTGAACAAATTACAATTATGTCATTTGAGAAATTAAAAGTACTTTGGATCTTAATTACGGAGTAAATTTCATGGGGGGAAAAATGAAGAACAAACCCAGCTAAACAACTTATGGAGATGAATGAACGGTGATGGATCAAACAGGTGGTGACAGAGCTAAAAAAGAAACTCACGACAAATAATAAATTGATACATGTATTTTTTTTGTTGTTTAGAGAGCCACAAGGGCGGGTGATGAGTTTCGATCCCAATATCACCGGGAATCGGAGGGGAGCTCTAACCACTTGAGCTATCCCTCACACTCGTTGACAAACATGTATAATTAAAGTTAGAAATTATTTTAAAACGAATAATAAATAATTGACAATTCATTGGGTGGACCCAGTCCTGGACCAAAAGTTTCACGTGCCAAAACCCAAGCAAAAGACGCTGAAATTCTTCCAGCTTAGCACACTAACGAAAAAACAATGAAATCTCTTTACCCTGCAACGTAACTTTAACATCACGTGATTCGCGTCATTAACAACTTATCATCAAAGCTCGATTTTTTTTCCCTCTCTCCTTTATTCTAGGGTTATAATTTCTCCATAATCAACCAATTTCTGCAAAAATCATGGCAACTTCTTCTATACATTCAAAATATACAGAATACTATAGAAAACTTTGATATTAACATAGTCAATTTTGATCTGAACAATGAAGCTCAAATCGAAAGCTACTTGATCATCTATTTGATTTTGATCAAATTGTGCAAATTTATAGATCATTGTTTGATTTGTCAAATATAGAAAACTTGTATCATCATCCCATTCAATTCGGACTTGAACAAGAAGATGAAAACTGTTGTAAATGTAGAACAAACTATTATTGAAGTTAAGGATCATAATGATCAACATGTAATTAGGGGTGGTGCTACAAGAGGGGGGGGGGGGGGGGGGGGGGGGGTTGGCAGAGGCCCGACCTCTGTAGCCCAAACTCGCAACCCTTAATTTTACTAATTTGGCCCTTGTAGTTTTTTAGAACATGAACTGATGATTTCATTTATATGATATCGAAATTCTGGTGGCTTAGCGGTAGTTGGGCTTATATTCTAGGTCTAAGGTTTGATTCAGTTGTAGTACCTTTTTCCTTTTCTTTTTTAAAGTGTCTTCAAAATCTTCTTCATAAATCCAACGATATTAGATCTTTCATTTAATTTTTTCCTCTATTTTTTGCCGAAATTTTATACTAAATTTATTCCACTTTTCTATCAGTGATTTAGCTTTTCATTTCTTCAATCTTTTATTTGTAATCGATTGGGTATTTATTTCATTTTATTTTATAAATTACGCCTTTATTTTATAAAACTCGAATTTTACTTTTGTCTATTTGTTCAGTAATAATTACTCTATAGATCGTCTTAAAAAAAAACTCTATTGATCACTTTTTTATTTATTTATTTTTTTTTAATACAAAACTCTAAATTTTTAAAGTTAGTGATTGATAGTCAACAAGTGGTTTTACACTAGTTTTATACATATACCGATATACGTAGTATATAGGAAAATTAATTGTCAATAACTTTAACATGTAATCTATTATTGACATTGATTTTAATATGAAATATCATACATTGCGATTTAGAAAAAAAAATTTATTATAATAGCAAACTATATATTTTTACTCGGTGTATTGAGCCGTCGGCCCCCCTAGCTTAAAAATCCTGGATCCGCCCCTGCATGTAATACAAGCTCAAGGTATTATGCGATATACGATATATATGCGAATTATGCGATTGGTTTTAGAATTTGATAATGTGAATATAGCGATTATGCAATTATAGCCAACACACAAAAAATCATATTAGGCAACAAATGAAATATATCAGCTACACATAAAACATATCAGCCAACAAGTAAAATATATCGACCAACATATGAAACACATAAGCCAACAAGTAAAAACTATTGGTTTGAAATAAATTCAAAACTTAACTTATGAGAATGAATTCCTAGCCGTTGATATTATTTAGATCAAACGGTTATCATGACATAGTGTGTGTCATGGACCTTATTTAGATACACACAGATTTTCACTCATTAATCCCCTTAAGAGTAAAAGAGTTTTTCACTTTTTACCAAAAAAAAAAAAAAAAAAAAAGAAAAAGTTTTTCACTTTTTACCATAAAAAAAAAAAAGAGTTTTTCACTCTTTACCAAAAAAAAAAAAAAAAAAAAAAAAGAGTGTTTCACTAATAGTGTTTGTGCCTCTCTATCTCTTCCTTCCATTGAAGCGCCTTCTAAGCTTTTTCGCCTCTATTAAAGTAGCTTCTCAGGTAAGATTCTTATTATTGATTTTTTAAATCATCGTATATCAATTGCACAATTTAGAGGTTTTAGTTTTACATCATCGTTAATTTGATTGTCAATATCGCCAATTTAGGGTTTGGATTATTGAACTCTTCGGTTGTTTAATTGTTGCACTTTTTGAACCACTTTATCATTTAGACTAAATTTAATGTTAAGAGTAATAATTTTGCTGTTATTATGTTTAGGTGCCACTTTGTTTTGTATCGTTTGCTATGGCTGATTTGTGCGACATGGAAGAGGATAAGACGATGGTTTCCAGAGATGCATTTTCTGAGAGAATGAGGGATTCGTTGTTTTCTATACTCGATGATGATTGGTATAAATGGCATCGTGTGGATGTTAGATCTGAACCAGTGGTTGAGGTTTTATCTGTGACTCTCCGAAACAATAACACGTGCAGCAGCAAGGGTTCGTGGGAGATTTTTGGTAAAATTTATGTGTATGATATTACAAGTCATCACAGATGTGATATTTATGACCGTGACGAAGAATTTGATGAGCCAGAGATAATCCCTTTGGATGTTGGTGGTACCTTAAGCCTCACAGGACCCGATGATATAATGCCAATGGAGAAACCTTGATTGGTTTTGATATTCGCGACAAGGTTACAGGTGAAACCATCATATGTGAGAGTGCTCCTTTGTTAAAGACAGTTGATACCGCGAAACAACAAAATCATCCGTTTGAACAATTCAAGAAAATTATAATTCATGGCACTAGTTGTTCAGCTGAGGTGGAGTACCTCGCACTTACTTTTGTTGTTTTTGTCCCTATCGAGGTTCGACTGTTTAAGCAACAAGTGGAGGGAAGTGGGAACAACAAGCTACAAGAGGATAAACTAGACGAACTTGAGGTTTATGGGACCGTTTCAGCAAGTTATGGTCTTTATTATTCTGATAGTAAATTTAATCGCATTATGCTTTATGAGATTACTGAGGATTCTAATGATTCTGAATTGGTGACACTGGGATCTCCTATTACCCTGTCTAGATCTGTGGTTGCTGTGCCTGCGTATTCATCCCTCACTATCCAAGTAGAGTTATGGAATCGTGCTACCAAGGTGCTAATTGTCCAAGGAAGCTATAAGGCTGAAACTTGCAACGAATGGGATCATAGAATTATTACTGGTCTAAATTCTGTAAATGCTGACGTGATTGTTGATTGGGAGGAACCATTTCTGCTGAGTCGACTGGTTGCCAAAAAAGATGAAGTACAATGGGGGATTCACTTTCATTTTTGGGTATATATATATATATATATATATATATATATATATATATATATATATATATATATATATATATTGTTATCATCAACTTGTTTACAATTTGGTTTTTTTAGTTCCCTATCTAATGTTGCTCCTTTTGTGTTCAGACACCTCATGCTGTAGAGGTATTTTCAATCTTTATCGGCCGCCAAAACGATGAACAATTGAGTCTTTATGGGATGGTTACTTTTGATGGCTCTCGGGGTCAAAAATGTCTTTTCAAAAGAGATAAGAATGATCCCTATGTTTTGCCTCCTGGCAGCAATTTGTTACCTCTAAAAGGCCCTGATGACACTCTAATACCTGCGGATACATTTTGGATGTCTGTTGAGCTTGAGGATGTTGATGGTCGTGTGTCAATCAAAGGGTTTGTGCCCTTGAGTGTTCAACTTGATAAACATAAGAAAGCTTGGTTTAATCGCCTCTTGTGTGGGGTTGTTAAAGGTAGGCATGATCGTAGTTTTGCTGCTATTCATTACACAGTCCTTTCTCATGCATTGAAGGCTACACTAAAGGTTCATTTCTTTTTCAAAGGTAAACCTTCTTCTGATGATTTTTGCAAAATACATGGGAGTCTGGTTGCTTTGTATGATAAATATGGGTGTAAAACACCTTATGAGAAATTATATTATCGGAATGTTCTTTTTGAGAGGCTTGAAGATAATCCATTAGAATTTCCATGCATGAATTTTGATGTCGATCTTTGGAGACATGTGGTTTCTGTTCCACACAATTGCTCTTTGCAGATTGAGATAGATTTGAGTTGTCAAACAACAAGTTTCATTGAACGTTTAAAGGAGACTAAACGATTTCAAATTAGTCCTGGTGTTTGTGATGAAGTGATCATTGAAGGAGCTGAAGTTGGCATCAACATCAATGTAGAATGGAGTCAAGCATAATGTAGTTTATATGTAGCTTTATTTTTCCTTCTTAGCCTTGTAGCAACCAATATCAGTGGCGGATTTAGGATTTGGATAATGGGTGGTACTAAATTAACTTTAGTAAAAAAATTTACAAAATACAAAGTAATATGTGGAGCGTAATAATTTTTTCTTAATTAAATTTTGAGTTAATAAACCATTTAACTATTGTATTAGTATTTGCGTGTACTATGCACCCTATCTTCTGACAACAAGGTTTTTAATTGAGTAACGAAATATCTTTTTAAAAAGAGATTGTCTATAAGTTGGAAAAAATAAACAATACTTCCTACATTCTATTAATATGTGGAGCGTAATAATTTTTTCTTAATTAAATTTTGAGTTAATAAACCATTTAACTATTGTATTAGTATTTGCGTGTACTATGCACCCTATCTTCTGACAACAAGGTTTTTAGTCTATAAGTTGGAAAAAATAAACAATACTTCCTACATTCTATTAATATTGCAACAATGGACTTTTTTCACTATTCATCACTCTTGTTTAACCATATAATATGATTTATACGTTTAGCTAATTATAGTCATGTGGGATCTTATTGGATTCGTCTCACAAAATACTTTCACAATATCAACTTTTTATAATTTTTACTTTTACACAATTATAGATATTTAGCATATAAAATGTGCTTGGAAGTATTACCTAAGGTAACAGTATCTAAGAGACCGCCTATTAGATCAGGCAGTCTCTTTTTGTATCTTTTTTTTTTCGCCACTGACCAATATTATTGTCTATTATCTTTATCACATTAGAATTATTTTGGCCACGTTTCCCGTGTGTTTTTATAGATTGAGTTTTTATCTAACTAGTTCATGGTTTGCATTTAGATTATCAAAATAGCCTATTTTTCGGAGGCGACAAAGGGTAAAGACACAGATTGTAACACCCCAATAATTCTCTCTTTAAACCTGTGAGGACCCTGAATAATATTCAAGAAAATTACTGGCGTGCTACTGCCACATGTTCAAACGTTAAGGCTATATCAGAAATTAGCAGCGGAAAAACTAAATCAGTTATATAAATAAGTTTCAAGACCAACGAATGAAACCAAATTAAGTGTACATAGAGTTACAACGAATTTTCAAAACCAACGAATGAAACCCATTAATTTTATGAGGTCCAATCTTACTACTTACCCTACACCACCCTCTCTCTCCTATAAATAGCCCATAAATCCCCAAATTTTTCCCCACACTAAAAGGTTAGTAAACTCTTTTCTCCTTATTTTATTTCTTTATTATCCCTTTATTTTTCTTTTTCCTTTATTTTTCGTTTCTTTTCCTTTTTCTTCTTTTTTTTTTCCTTTCTTTTTTTTTCTTTCTTTTCTTTTCCTCCTTCTTACGTGAGGAAGGCTGGCAGCCCTCCCTGCCGCCTGCTGCCCTGCTCGGACTGCCACCCATGCCACCGGATTTCGGCGCTTCCGCCGCCCCTGCTCGCCGGCAAACCACCGTGGCCACCCTCACCTTCCTCCTCCTTTTATTTTGTTCTATTGTCATGTTTATTATTAAATTGTTTTGGGTTTTGTTTTTGGTAGTATAAAGATTATATTTTTAGTATCAAAATTATGTTTTTGATGTTTTAAACTAATAATTTCAGATTATAATTGTTGTTATAATTTTCAGATTTTATAATTTTAAAACCTAGGGTTTCAATTTATTTAAATTGGGATTTTAGGGTTCTTATGATCAATTAATTTGGGGCCTTTGTTTCTATTGCATTTCTAATGATTAATTAAGTATAAAAATATGTTTTAAAGGAAGTTTTAAGGAGTTTTAATCAAATATATATTGCTGGAATTTTATTTAAAGAAGTAGTGTTGTGATTTTAATGAAAGGGGTTTGATTACCCATTAAAAGAGAGATTACTTAAGTGTTTTAAAATAATTTTCAGACCTATATATATTAATAATTTGAAATTTTGAAATTAAATTCCGAAAAAGTACAATTAAATATTATAAATAAAATAAATTTTCATTTATAAAATATTTAAAAATACAGGGGATTACACAGATGGGAAATCCTCCATCCACAGCTGCTCCTCACTCAAAGTAAGGGAATGTTTACCTAGGGAATGAGCTACCTTATTACATAGTCTTGAATGAAAAACAAAACAACAAAAATCACAGACACTACTATATATATATATATATGTATATATATATATGTGTGTGTATATATGTATATATGTGTGTATATATGTGTGTATATATATACATACATATATACATATATATACATACATATATACATATATACATATATATATATATATATATATATATATATATACACACGGGTGTGTGTGCGTGCGTGCGTGTGTGTGTGCGCGTGCGTGCGCGTGCGTGCGTGTAAAACCCTTGTCAATATGAGAAGTCCTACTGCAGCTTATCAGTAGTGCTCTTCCTAAAATGCCCTTTGGTACACTTCATTTTTTATGTGAACTCCTCCTGGTTTTCCTCCGGTCCATTGACCGTCGCACTTAAAACACAGAACCTTTGTTTTCTTATCTTGAAATTTCTCGCTCAGTCAGCCTCCGTACTTCGCCGCTGAAACGAGAGGAGCTGGGGTTAGTTCGATTTTGGTTGGTGGTGGGTGGTTGGTTTACTGACGCTATAGAGCTTTGTGAGGTTGAGTTGGTTTAGGAGTTAAAAGGTGGGTTGGTTTCAGTTGGATTATATTGTGAGGTTGGGTTGATTTGGGAGTTAAAAGGCTGGTTGTGTGTTGTGTAGGATTGGTCGGCCAGCTCCAAGTAGAATAGGGTCCAAACTTGGAAAATGCTCCACTAGGGTTCTTCAAGTGGCTGATCCGATTTCTCTCTTCCACCCGGATCGCAAGATCCATGGCATCCTCAAGGGTCCACGGGTTTAACATCCGTAACTCCGCCTTTATCTCCTCCTTGAGTCCGTTCACGAAGTGACTCTTCATGATACTCTCCGGGATGTCAAGTAAAGGTGAAGCCCTCTCCATGAACAAGCGCCGGTACTCCACCATCGTTGTCGTTTGCACCACAGCGAGCCACTGCTCGTGGAGGCGGCCAACATTAATGGGCCGGAATTGGGTTAAAATTGGCCCCTTGAGATCCTCCTAGCCTATGAATGGTCGGCGGCGGCTTTCTCATTGGTGCTACTGTAATGCGTCGCCGTTCATAGCCACCGCAGCAGCCCGGAGTTTCTCCACCTCCGATAAGCGGTAAAATTGGAAATATTGCTCACTCCGGAGTATCTACCCATCGGGGTCAAATCCGTCGAGGATCGGCATATCACGTTTCCTGTATTTCCAATTTCCCCATCCTTCTTGATTTTCGCCATGGTTCCGATACCCTCCATCAGCACCAGGATCCCAAGTGCCGAATCTGAGGCCGTTGAAACCACTACCACTGAGCGACACCCTGTGGTAGAATCACCTGCACCCAGCGGTGGTTCCCTGAAACCACTAGCACTCAGCGACTGCTCCATTTCCTCGTCCACCGCGATCGGTGTTTTCCCTCAACCCTCCAAGGTCGCCATCATTCCTCTAATCTCATCAAAAATTTGTCTTGGTTGTTCTTCATAAGTGCGTTTTGTTGCTTCTGTTCATCTCTGAACCGGTTCCCACAACCTTCAATTTTCTGGATTGCTTCGTCAATGGCAGCCATGTTCTTGTGGTTGGACTCTTCAATGGCTTCTCTATTTTTGCGGGCCGCCTCTTCTTGATTCTTGTTGAATCTATCCATTAAAGTGTTTTGAATGGCTTCCATTCCTTCACGAATCGTCATCATCAAGATGTGCTGAATGGAGTTCTCTCCATCCCCTACCTTATCGCTGATATCCTCTAAACGCTCCTCGGGGGCTGCAACTCGTTCCACGGTTACTGTCGACGCCGTTGGAGGCATGTCGGCTCTGATACCAACTGCAACAAACTAGCGTGGTGCGATAAAATAAAATGGACGGAAGGTTGTTTTGGATACATTAAGCTTAAAGCTTGCGTACATTCGTTAATGGATTTAGGCCATCACTCTCCAAGAACTCACTACAATAATATTCTGCCTAAACTTCTCCACTCTAGACTACTCCTATTTATACTACTACTACATTTCATAAGTTGGCAACAAGGCCTTAATTACTACAAGTACTACTCTTATCCTCTTTCCACTTTAGCACACTACAAACAAATAGCCTAAAGTTGCTTGTCTACTGGTTACAATCCTCTGTCTCTCCTTGCGGTGGCCACGGTTTGTTGTTGTTGTTGGTCTGCTCCTGCTGCCTTCTCTAACGCCTACTGTAGGTGAGTGTCACGGGTGGTTGTGGGAGTGGGTTCATTGCACTAAGGATGCTAAGAATGTTGATTGGGTTGTAATTTTAGATGATGTCTTGATCATCCGATGTCCAATAGTACCTTGGGAATTAGTTGCTGAGAAAGGCAAGCTTGTTTTTCAATATTTGGGTATGGACACTTAACTCAGACTTCTTGTTTATGATCTGCTAGACTGTAATGTTTTTGCATTCTTTTTTACTTCTGTTTGAGACTTGACATAAGTTGTGGTAAAGTCCTTCACTAGAATGTGTAGATAATTAAGATATTGTATTGAGCTAACCTGAAATGTCTAAAGAATGAGAGGCAGAGAAAAGTAGAGTCAGATATGTTTTTTGTGTGTGGAGAGGAATCATATGTTATGAAACACAAGATTGTTATTGTTCGTTTAACGAAATAATGGGTGTTTGGTTTACTTAATAAGGTATAAGGTATGAGTTTAGAATGTTTTAAACACATACCTTATGTTTGTTTTATGATTTTAAAAGTTTCAAATTCATACCTCAAACCCCAAGGTATGGGGTTTAGAAACCTTTGGGAGGGGGGGCGGGAGAGGTGGATTTCGCTCATTTCCATACTTGTAGGTATCAAATAAAAGAAAAAAAAATGTATTCCATAATCATACCAAACATATAGTATTAAGAATCAAGTTCCAAACCCATACCACTATGGTTTCATTCCTGATTCAACCCGCATACCAGTTTCCGAACCAAACGCCCCTTAAATAGTGTTCGTATTGATTTTGATTGGATAGGTATGATTGAGTTTGTGATGATTCTAAGTAAACAAAATTATTTTTGGAAAATTGAAAAAGACTTATCCCCCCTTTGCTTGGTCTTCCGAAACAATATCACATTCGATTATTCCAAAAATAATCCCACCTTTGACATCAATTTTCTTGT